TAATCAGCATTGAGCAACCGTAAGGTTTCGTGGATCTGGATATTTTTTCCCGTGCAGACCACCCCCCCCACGACCGAGAGAAACAAAATGTCCGAAATAATCAGAGCTTAAGACTCGGTCTTATTACAAACCCCATACTCGAGAATGTTGTTTTGGTACACGAACATAGACATTTGGTCGTTGAGTGTAGTGAATTTTATGGATGTTTTCGTGTGTCAGATTTTCAATGCAGACCAGCGATTGAGGTAAAAGAAGTAAGGGTCTACCTAAAAAAATCAAGACACATGGGCCTACTTCGAAATTCGGGGTGCGTGGGTGGGCGGGGGGGGGGGAGGGGGGTACTCATAGTCGTGCATGCCGTAGTCGTTGGACCATTGACCTCGCATCCCTACAAAGCCGGGACGGAGCACGCCGGGTTCTCACCGGACCAGGCTCTCACATCACCAAGCGCGAAGCGCCGTGAGATATTCGGCGAGTCGCATGAAGGGTGCGCTGCATCCTGCTAGGGGTGTTCGGTATCTTGTGTTTCCTTCCTTGCATACGGATGACAGCTGCGTATGGCTTCATTTATTTTCTGGTGCTCTCACGTCCAGAGACAGTTGTAAGCTCTGTGCAACTGCCTCGAGGATGGTGCAATTACCTCCTTTGCGCGGAGTGAGGGTTATCGCCCCACCACACCATAATCTACTCGACCACCATTCATGGTCACCGCAAAAAAAAAGAAAAACAAAGGCAAAAAATAAGCTGTAACCTGGTTGCCGAGCTCACGGCTTGTTTTACAACACTGCTGTCGAGCGACGAAAACCCAAGCCCGATGGCAAACACCGGGGGGGGCGGCTCGTTTTACAACGTCGTTGCCACGCGACGAAAACCAAAATTCCGCCGGCAAACACCGAGGGGGGGGGGGGGGGGGGCTCTAATTTCTACCATCTGATTGCGAGGTCAATGTGGCGATGCCAAACCACATTCGGTCCCCTTGGGCGCCCCGTTACCCGGAAAGCTTCGTTTCTCTTTCTGGCGTGGGCCTTTTGAATTGTAGGGTACGTTGAGAGCGTAAATGTTGTTAGTTTCCTATGATTACGTGATTTCACGATGCTATGCATACCCATGGTGAAAATGAGCAACCTCATGGACAAACGTACGACAACGAAAGAAGAGAAAATGCGAACAAAGATGTGCGCCAAAACGCGATCCGTCGAATGCCACGGACGGTGGATGCATAGATTGTATAAACAAATGTAGCACCGGGATTCCCATGTAACGCGCCCATTGCCCTGCTGGACGCTGGGGCAGGTGTGTGTGTGTGGGCAGGAGGCACCCATCATGGCGGAAGATAAAAAGAGGTGGACAAAAATATTCAAAATCTAAAAATTACTTCAAGGCCGGGTCACAAGCTCTGATGTTTTTCGGAGATTCTTTTTTGCTCTCTCTCTCTCGGCGGAGGATGGCCTGCACGGGAAAAATTATCCAGATCCAAGAGACCTTACGGAATGCATGTTTGTTCAGGGGAAAAATGGGGCTGATTCAAGTCTTGTGGGTCACAACATGCCTTCGTGCACGGTTCTGGCTCGTCTGCCGGCAACATCCACGGTGGCCTTGTGGATGTAGTCGACCAAAGGCCTCTCTGTGGCATGCGTTGTGGACTCATTACACTCGGAGCAACCAGAAAAAACAAGGCAACGTCCAAAATAGTCAACACCGCAAACACACCTCGGTTCACGTTTACAGGCTGTGCGCAATCAAAACTGGACAATACACTCTGTTCTCTGGGACGAGAGCAGAGCGCATGTGTATGACCACACGCCACTGGCTGCAGTTGGTGGATGTCATCGGCCTAAGGCCTACCTCTGGCATGCGTTTGTGACTGGTAGCGGGTGACACACGGAGCCAACACCTGGCGGAACAAGAAAAAGTCCAAAAAGTCGACACCGCAGCACACTTTGGTTCACGTTTGCAGGCCGTGTGCCATCAACACTGGCCTATGACGCTCTGTTTCTGGGGCGCGAGCAGAGGGTATGTGTAGACCACACGCCATCATTGGCTGCAGTTTGTGGATGTCGACGGCCTAAAGCCTCTCCCTGGAATGCGTCTTTGACTGATGACACATACAGCAGGCACAGAAATGGCTCTTGTCGGCCCATTGTCGGCCCAAAGGCGAGAACGACAGCAGAGCAATGTGGCAGGGTGGACGCTGCCGGCTCGTGTGCGTCCAACAGGACGCAGAACTCCCTGAATTGTAGATACTTACAGAGGGTTTGTTCATGACCTCATGATACTGGCCTCCGTTTGGCCAGCAGAGGGTGTACTGTAGCTCCTCGTTCTGGCACGATCAGGGTGTGACCCCCTCATTTCTAACTTGGAAAGTATCAACCGATCCAGTTTAGAAAATTGGCCTGGATAATGTCAGCCGATCCAGCCTAGTTCTAACTCGCCAGCTGGAATCCTAGGAAAATTCGGTCATTTGGAAGTTGGGCTCTCGGAATTGGCCAGTTTCGTCCGCGTATGTGTAAGACGCCCAAAGACTTTGTTGGGCTAAGAAAAGGACCCGCCCCAACAAAATACCGTTCTTAAGAATTGGTCACAAATTATCAGAAAAGAAAAGGCTAAAAAGTTAGAAAAGCAGGATCCGGACTCCTGTTTTTTTTGCAGGCATTGTCCATTGCATATTCTATCAGACTAACTTCCAGACGCGACGGTTAGTGTCGACATGGCGGTACTGTAGTATGACAGTACCATGGTACTGTTTTGGCGGTACCGCAGTACGGTGGTACTTTTTCGATGGTACTGCAATATGGCGGTTCTTTTTAGGCCGTTCCCGGTACTTGTTTTATTTGTGGTACTTTTTCGGGGGTCACGCAATTTGACTTTTTCGGCGGAAGGCGGTATTTCGTTTTTTCGGCTGTATGGCTTTCGGCGGTTCCCGGTACCACCGAAATGTGCCGGTAATTATCGCCAGTACCAAGACCGCCCACCACAGCGGGAAACCCCCCGCGGGGATTCTCCGGAAGTGTACCCTGGAAAATGTGCCAAGTCGGGAAAGAATTACGTTGATTTGTTTGCACTCAGAACCTCAAGGGGTGCTTTGTGTGTGTTGGTGTGTTCCCTGCTGGGCAATCCTGCGTCTGATCAGGGACCACTGTGTGCTGTGTGTCATCACGTCATCATCCGAGTGAATAGTAGCACGACGTCCGTGATAGCATGTGGCCTAACCGGGTGTTGTATGCTGTAAGGGGTGCCTTGTCTTGTGTGGGTGTGTTATCTTGTTTCATATACGGTAATCACATCCTCCCACGGTAACCGGAGGACATGGAGGCCGAAAAGGCCCCCACGTCCGGGCCTTATGCGTACATACATGCAATAGAGACGCGATGTACGTGTGAGAGATGCTACCTTTTCCGGTGCGTTGTAACTAGCTCGGGCGAGGCTGTTCGCGCATTTGTTATGCCTAGTCTGCCGCTCTCAGACTGCAGCACACGCATGCTGCACGTACGTGCGTGACTGCGTGGCGTATCGCGGCAAATACATTATATTCGTTTTCGGCCGTCCTCGAAATTTTGTAACTTGTAGTATTTTTCCCGCACGTTGTCTTGCCATTCATCACCCCCAAACCGTTTCCACAAAACTGCGGATATCACGCGAACGTCGGGTGGGACCGTCAGGGATTCGAACCCCACCTCAACTGTCGTGTTATATTTTCCGTTTTTTCACTGCTCTCACCGCTCATTCATGTCCTCTACACACTGAATGATACGTTGCACCTGGCAAGTCTAGGTACGTACGTCAGTGTCAAACATGTCAAGAAGCAAGTACAGGCGTCAGCATTGTGTGTGAACAGCTGCAGCAGCTGCAACCAAAACGTGTGCGGTGAAACTGTTTCTGACGTTGAACAGCAGTCGTTGGCAGCACATCCCAACAGCTGAGCGTTGGCGCGGCAGCTCTCAGCGGCTGTGGAGCAAGCTTGTGTGTGTGGGGAGAGCGTCGGCAGACCAAAAGTTGCGACGAAAAGCGAGAGGGCAGAATCGGACGCGCGGGGAATCAAATGCAGTCCTGCATGCTCAGCAGCTGTGTACTGCTCTGTCGGAAAGTACACAGCGTGTTGTGTAGATACCCGAAGTGAGCGTTGGCACGGTAGGGGAGCGAGTGTGTGCGCGGGGCACTTTTTCTTGTTTCTCATGTGTGCTCTTCTACCGTGGTCTTCATCGGAACCCAACTTTTTACATACTGACCAAGGTTGCATCATGCTGAGCAGCTATTGCTGTTCTCTGTACCATTTGACTTAGATACATATTTGTTTCAAGTGAAACGTTCAAATACCGCCTTTTTTCGAAGGGCCGAGTAATGGTTTTCATTTGTAGACGTCCAGTGTTGCCTCAGTCAAATTGGTATTTAGTGCAAATGACAGAAAACTGTACCGGGGTGGTTTGGTAACACAAAACGGTACACAAGGTAGTGACTAGTTGACCCCGAGGCCCCACGCTGAATGGCCACGACCACCGAGTACCGGTTTCTGGCGGCTCAAGCGGAGGAGTCTGCTACCGTAACCGGGCTTCTCGAGTGGACTACTCCCGTTTTCGGTCGCACTGGTCTCGGTTTACTGCTGCTGCGAACAGTAAGCCTGCACGTAACCATTTGGCTTGATGCGACTGGTGGACCTCTCACTTCAGACGACCTCACTATTCTGTCGAAGAAATGGTTGATGCAGCAAGACAGAGTATAATAGTACATTTACCCGTTTCCCGCATGCCGGTTTCAACAAGACGACCTTGCGGCTTTGTTGGGCAATAGTGAATAGAGCAAGACACAGCAGTAGGTTAACACTTCAATGCAGACCGTCCCGAGAGACATACGATTGCACTCTAAAGACCCGCGGCATGCTTTGTCTCGCGAGGAGGGGGCTCCGACGCTGGCTATCTGCTGACCGAATCTCCCTGCCATTCACGACCCCCCCCGTTGCCCGCAGTGCTGTGTTTGAGCATGTGCAGGAAGTGGTCCAGCATAAAATGCCAGATTGCATGGTCTTGCCGGTCGGATCGTTCCCTCTCAAGACCTACTTACCTTATGCCGACGTGGATATGGTAATGTTTCTGCCTCCAAAGGCCACCTCGACCAGCGAAGGTCCAGCGGGAGGGGTTGGAGGGGAAAGTTCAGGAAAGGAGGGGCGCAAGGACCATGAGCGAGAGGAGGCGACGGACGCCCATTCCGGCGGCGATGACGGCAAGGGTACGGGCGCGATACGCGCACCGGCGCTGATTGCTGCTACCATGGCGCTGTGCAATGCGGCCATGCAGGCCAGTTCCAAGCGAGGGTCTCCAGGGCACAGCCGTTCTTGGTCTCCCTTGCTCGAGACTGCGAAACCCGAGATCCGCAACGTGTCGCTTATCAACGCGCGAACGCCAATCGTTACAATGGTCGTTGGGAACGTGGATGTCGATCTCACGGAGAACCAAGGGGGGAGCGTAGCGGCGTTGGCTTTACTTGAGGAAGCGGACAACCTCATTCAGGGGAATCACCTCTTCAAGCGAAGTTTGTTACTCCTCAAGGCATGGGCATGGTGCGAGACACCTCGATTAGTTGGGAGTCGTGTCCTGGGCGCCCGAAAGGGAGGCCTGACAAGCTATGGCCTCTCCGTGATGGTTCTGCACTTGTTCGCGTCGAGTGCCTCGGCAGATGCCCTCGTACACCCGCTGGACGTGTTGATACGTTTCTTTGAGGTGTACTCGGAGTTTGACTGGGCTCGATATTGCCTTACCCTGGACGGACCGGTTCCTTTGGAGTCCGTTGGCGGATCACACCCGTACGAGGGCTCGCACGGCAACGGCGGCACAAGTTCTAGGTTTCAGCCCCTCGTGAAGAAGGTTCTGGCGGAATTGATTCGGGTGCCCGAGAAGGATCGTAAAAAAGAGAGGGAGAAGGCGGAAGAGAAGGATGAAGATAAAGCCGGGCGCCGCGGGCAGCGAGCGAGCAGGTTTGGACGATTGTCTGACAGGCACGCCGAAGATGCGTTGCCGGGGACACCGCGTTTTGCGGCTGGGGTGATGCCGCACTTTCCCAAGCGAAGGTGTAACATCCAAGACCCTCTCAACGCCCTCAATAACCTCGGATATTCCGTGACGAAGAACAACCTCAAGGCGCTGAAGCGGGCGCTTCAACAGGGGCGGAAGAAGCTGGAGGCCTGGCACCTCGTGTCGCACCCTTCACCGTGTCGTTCCCACCCCAAGAGCGATGGAGCGCTGCGAAGACCACGCGAGGCGGAGGTGTCGGGGACGGGGCGGTCGCAAGGAGTGCGCAGCGTGGAGGAAAAGCGTGACACTCGGCTGTTTCAGGCAGGGGTAGGGGTGGGAAGTGAAAGGGCGGAAGCGGAAGCCACGAGACGGGAGGGGGAGGACCGTGGGATGACTGGCGGCGGTAATGCTCCGGGCCCTCAAGCTTCGCTTGAGCCCGCCGCACCGGTGCTGGAACAATTCAAGTCTACTTCCGGTGTCGTTCACCATCTCGGTCCACCGGCGGCGGCTCAGTTAGGTCCTCCACCTTTCACCCTGCACGCTCAACATCCTGGTACGAACGTGATTGTTGGCCCGTCCTTACCATTTGTTCCCGGTGCTCATCCGTTCGTGACGGCACCACGACACTACGCCGTTCTTGCTTTTCCACGGCCTGTCTTGCAGGCAGCCCCCCAACAGCACCAATATGTGCATCAAGCGCAACGGTACATCCTTCCGCAGGTGCAGCCGGTTGCACCGTGGCCAAACTCGGCGATATTGGTGCCCACACCAGGGGTCCAAGCACACGCCCACTTTCCGCCACAGTGGCAACAGCTGCAGAGGGTGTTTCTGGGGCCGGGGCCGCACCCAGGCGGTCATCAGCTTGGTCCTGACCAGCAGAGATTTTCGGTAGTGAACGGGAACGTGTCGTCGGAGTGGTGCAGATATCAGGCGACGGCCCGCTCGGACGTGTGCGTAGTTGGGCCGGAAACAGCGACGAGTCAACAGTCAGCGCCCCGAGGTCAGGAGGCGAAGGATCCCTTCGCGGATAAAGAAAAGTGCAAGGGCGGGCGACGTAAACGTCAAAAGGAAACTCACGACCAGGTAATGCAGGGACCGTTGCTGCCTCGGGAATTGCCGTCCTTCGTCAATGCCTCTCCAACTTCGTCCACGGCGTTCTTGTCCGAGGACGGCAGCAAGGATGGACAGGATTGTCAGTCGCACTGTGAGAGTGGTGCTGAAGATGCTGTGCACGACGTCCTAGCGAAGGAGAGCCTCTTCGTTTTGTCCTTGGGTGATTCCGACCACAGCGATACGATGGCGGACACTCGACATCAAAAGCGTGGCGAAGGGCAGAGAGCGGGGATGAAAAGGGCGAGCGGAAACTTGCGGGCGAACTGGTTCCTGCGTGAGTTTTTCCCGGAATGCTGTCAACGCTACGGTTCTGGTGACGGTTTCCGCGACGATCTCCTTGATCACCCGTGCGAGTGCAAGATCAGACTCCAGGAGCCCGGCTCTCTTCCGCCGAGGCGACCCGATGCTCCGGATGTGCTGCAAGGTGCACCTGGGGAAGTCTGGAAATCCTTGACGGTTATCGGTGGAATGATGCGCGAAATCGCCGCGCAGACGAACGACCGCAGGAAGGAAGAATCGGCACAGCCCCGAACAGAGACCAACCGTGCAGCGATAGGGGCAGAGGGAGGCGGAATAGGTGGCGGGCGTGGGTTAGGGCGTTCCCGTGTTCATGTGGGGCATCAAGCGGGAATCGAGCCGCGCGTGGTTCAGGCCCCGCGGGCGGCTCTTGCTTCTACTTGCACGAGTGGAGACCGTTCTGCCTTGTCGGCGAATACGGGGGTCGATTCGCGTGGGCTAGAGGTGTTGCGGCCAAACCGGGTGTCTCACCAAGTGGAAGATGAGAATCGGTCACAGCGGAGGGACGGGGGCAGGCCGACCGCCGCCACAGTACGGGTGAGTGACAACCACCTCTGCACCGGTTCTCTGCTGCAACGTACAGCGCGCGCCGTCGTCATATTGTTGTTTGTTTTTCTCCCATCATTGGATTCTGTCGTCTGCCCCTCTGGCCCCTATCCTCCACTTCTACCAGCTAGCGACCCGACCAGGGTCACGTAGGAGGGGGGGTTGGACCCCCTCCTGCGGTTCCTGCCTGAGATGTTTTTATCGCGAGAAGGGTACAGCAATCCCTTCCCTCGCGACTTAAGAAGTCGATCAAGTTTACTAACAACGAGCTTTGCAGCGCGTCGCTTCCAACGGATACCAGAATTTATAAGCGAGAAAAAACTCATTCTGTCGGGACTCGAACCCATGACCTGGCCCTTAGCAGGCTACGAGGCTACCCACTAGACCACCGGGGCGACCGGTTATTGTGCACGGCGATGTCGTGCCATGTCAGGGGCACTTGGAGGCGAGCGCGTGCGTGTTGGTGCAAATGTTTATAGTTGTTTGGCAAGCATTTTCTTGTGTGTGCAAATGTCGTAGATTCGTAAAACACAACTACGGTGGTACCTGTGTGGCGACATGGTGCATGCTCCGTCAAGACGTGGTTTATTGTTGCCAATACCTTCCGTCAATTTGCTCGTGTTTTGCTCTCGCCTTGGCGACGTGCGTATGTGTATCCGTATCCCTGTCTCCCCTCGTGACTCTGGCAGCCGCAGGTGCTCGTTGACGACGAGACGGGTTACACCACCAGCGAAGAGCAAGGCGATCGGGAATGTTGTACCTCATGCGGTGGAGAATCTCGAGAAGACGGAAGCCTTCCTTCGCCTCCAGTCGAAGCTCCATCTTTGGCTAAGCTTTTCCCCGTCTCCTCCTCGACACAGACGCTGAACACGGCTTCGACTGACGAAGTGCGGGTTGACGTTGGCGTCCAGTGCTGTGCTCCCGACTCTATTGATCAAGGGGTGCAATGCGTGGTTCCTTCGCCCAAGTTGAGGGTCTCATGTGCATCGCAGTGTGAACCGAGTAGGACATCGATTTCGACAAGAGTGCAGTGCGTCATCCCAGCGCCGACAATGGTGGTGTCTCGGGCCAGTCAGAGCTGCTCCAGGGCCTTTAGGCAGGCATCTAGTGGGGTTCAATGTTCTCTGCTAGTAGAAGCAGCTGAGGGTGACGGCGGTGCAGTGATCAAGGCCCTCCGCGGTGGACATCCTTCGCCGAGCTCGCCCCATGCAGGTGTAGCGACTGTCGGGATTGAAGACGTCATGGCACCCGCTTTCGAGGATATGTACAAAGAACCACACGATTCGAAGGAAGATTTAGAAAGAGATCTGCCTCAGTCTCCCGGGTCAGGTAAGACGGCACGTGTCGTCCCCGCGGTGGCCCTGAGCGACTCTTGTACTGGAGGCTGCGGGGGTGATGGAGCACCAGCCCCCAGAAGCAAGAAAAGGCGAAAGAAGGCCAAAGCAGGCTTTGCAGCGGGAAGATCAGCTGCTGCGAAAAGTGTGATGAACCGGCCGTCTGAGCCCTGGTCGAATGCACAAGGCGTTGGGGTGGGCGGGTGGACGCGTTGGCTGGTGAGCATGGCGGCCTTCTGTGGGGTCGTGGGTCTCGTGCTCACGGCAGCAGGGGGAGCGTTGAGGGGCGCGGGAGATGCGAGCTGGCAAGGCGGCGATCGACTGACACCGCGCGTTGTGCACGAGGGTCAGACAAAGAGAGCTCAACCCCCTCTGTGGGTGGCAGCTGGGAGGAGTCTCACCCTTGGAGACGTGCGTGCGTCTCGAGATTATGCTTTGATGGCGAACGACACCGGCCGGGTCCAATGGTTCCGGGGCGGGAACGTGCTTCCGGGGCAAACCAGGTTGGTGAAGATGCGATTGTGCTCGAACATGTCTTGAACGCTTCTGTGGACGTATATGCATACGTCCCCGAGTCTTTGTGGAATGATGTTGTTTTCGGTTCGTGCGTAAGGTTGGTTTGTCCTCGTCGGTAAACTAATTTTACACTGCAGTTAGCAGAGGGTTCTGTTTTTAACTTCACCAGGCGTGTACCTCCCAGTGGCACAAGGGCTTCAGCCGATTCCTCACGCGCCCACCACGGTACCTCATGTCCCGGTTTATCGTTTGCTTCGACACTACGGCCGCTGTGTAGTACGGATCTCGTTATCCTGCAGGTGATTGCCCGATTTTATTGCCCGTGCTTGCTGTTGGTGATCCGTATTTCTGCCGCGCGTTTTCGCTGATGCAATGTTCCATTTCACGCGAACAGGCCATTGCTGATGATTTCGGAAGTCAGCATGGAGGACGAGGGCACGTACGCCTGCTTTGCTGTCGAGGAGTCTGGTAGAATAGGTAGCACACCTTTGTGGGAGGAGGTGAGGCCACTTCTGTAATGCTCTTGTGTTCGATTTTCCACCCCAGATTCCGCGACTCTGAATGTTGCCCAGAAAGCTTGTGTTGCACGTCGAAACGTGCTTGGGTTTCAATCGACGTGGTGCTAAAAAAGAAACGATTTTGGATTCGATATCGATTACTGATCAATGTAGAAGCGACAAGGATCACCCAGAGGGCATTTCGAGGCCACGCGAGATGAACATCCAGATGTACTTAAGTATTTTCTGGCACGGGAACGAGCAGCGAAAACTGTGCATCCAGGCATGTTTCCAGGACTGCCAACGTCACGGCATTGTTAGTGTACGCTCGTGTGCTCCCAGCAAGAGCAAACACAGCCGCCAAGGTTAAATGCCGAAACGTACATTTCAGATTGTCCCGGACACTTTTCTGTGGATGGAGAATGGATTCGTTACTTTCAAGAGAAGAATTATAGGCTCATCGAGATATCGAAGAGTAATTCGATATGCAGAGGATGTTCGATTTACCGAAAGTTCCGATTCGATCTGCAAAAGTACGCTTGAAGTTGTCTTGTTTTGTCCTCATTTGCCTCGACGTTCGTTTTGGTGACGTCCACGCAGGCCACTGTACGGATCAGCGAACCGCCACTGGTGGAGTCTCAGCTCCAATCACAACGTCTCGCGCGCGGAGAAATGCTTGCCATCGTTGCCACTGCAAGCGGAGTGCCCCAGCCAGAATACCAATGGCGGCGAAATGGCGTGCCTATTCCAGGAGCGACCCGCCCTATGCTGGTGAAGCATGGTGTGTCTGAAGCTGACATGGGCACCTACACTTGTGACGTGTACAACGTAGCGGGGAGGGTGCAGTGGGAAGAAATGGCCGTGATACTGCGCGAAGATAGATCCAAGCGATAAGAACAGCGGAGTGACATTGTACCGATTGACACGTCATTCATGGGTGACTGAAAAATGTAAAGAGCAGGTTGCGTGTAGGTTTAAGCGTAGGGTTGGCTGCTCCCTTCCCCTGTCAGTAGGGATGAGCAAATGAGGGGTATGTGGTGAACGGCCAATCATTTTTTTAGTGCTCCCTTCCTCTGTCAGTAGGGATGAGCTAATCAGGGGTATGTGGTGAACGGCCAGAGCTCATTTTATTTAGCACTCTTTGTTGCTAGTGTACATCAGCTAGAATCATTTGATCCCATTAGCTTGTTATTTACGCTTGTGGTGCAATAGTCGAGTAATGTGTCTTGTGGTGGTGGACGCGGAGATGGTGTGTCGTGGTGCAGTAGGTGAGCATCGAGGTAGAGATACCGGTGGCATAGCTCCACTTCTGTTTTCGGTCGTCCTTCTTGGCGAAAACAGGTAAACTATAGTTTGGTGTTTTTCCAACCTCTCCCTTTCAGCGGTGTCGACCACAATATTGCAGCTTGTCTTTCGCAACCAAGCACCTCGGTGGCAAAGCTGTTTGGAGGTATGGGCACACCATGGTGAGATCCCGTTCGCTCGTGTTCTAATGAGCATCGTATCATACTGCAGATACATGATACGTTGAGGCACTTCGTATATTTTGGCTATCTGTGGCACACGGCTGTCTGGGGCACAGCCATCCTCAGCAGTGGTAATTTATTCCATCTTCGCTTCCGGGAGGTGGTCGGTTTATATGGCGGATCGAGTCGTTTCTTCAACATCTTACAGGCACTTATGCTCTCTGTTCTTGCATACCACACGATTTCGTCCACTCGTTCTCTTTGCTCGAAGGAACATCTTGGCGATGGGTCTTGGTGCGGTAGACTTCGAGTACGCGCCACCACTTGTAGCACGTTGTTGCTCATTTCAGGTTTCCTCTCCGTGCACGAAAAGCTCGATGTTAGTTGTTGTCCCTCACACAAGAAAATAGTAAGCTGGCCTCTGGCAATTATTCCGCAGCTCTTGTAAACAGTACTAATGAACGTCGCAGTGCGTACTACTTTTTGAGGAGAGCGTTGCCCTACCTGTGATGAAGATGGTGGGTTGGTCTTGGTCACATGTGGTTTGACCCCCAAGTCTAGGTGCAACAACAGCATAAATAACGGCCCATTAGCGTTCGCGCGCTCCTCCGGCTTCGTCGATTCGTTTTGTACGGAGCACAGCATGCTAATGCTGAGTATGCATCCGTTTACTATGGTAATGTGTTGTACTACAGTGGTACAACCAGACCAGTCTGCGATCCGAACTAACTCGCTCGTCCCATATAAAGACACTTGTTCTGAAGCCCGACAGGGACTTCTGTCGCCGAACTTCTCAAAACCTATGTATGTTCGAAAACGACCGGACTCTTTTCGACACCACCTTCGTGTTTTTTCGCTAGGTTTTCGAGTTAGTTGGCGATTTCCGGTCTCTTCTCGAAAAGCAAGTGTTTTTTCTTCGGTCGATGTTTCTCGAGATTCCATCGACAGATTTTCGTGTGGGCTGGGAGAGAGGTGTCCCTCCTGGCCTGGTCCGCCCCTCCTGCAACCTTGGTGCAAAAACTTGCATTCATTGTGTCAGCTTTGTAGACGGATATTTTTTCAGTTGTTTCATCGTACTCTGAATAGACTGTTGCCGGTTGCTCGGTAAAATGAATACCGGTGAACTCCGCTGGATCGCACAGGCACTACATATACCGGGACCACTACTACTGTGCTGCTGATGTAGACATGCTGTGCACATCAAAGAGGGAGGAGATGGATGATGCAATCAAATCCATGTCTGTGGCGTCACGTCCCTGTCCCCACCGCGCGTGGAGTACAACATGCGAAGTCTATCTATTCTCATTTTTCTCGCGGACCCCAAATCCGAGCGTCTCTCTCTGTGCTACTACAGATCGTCTAGATGCATAGTCTAGACTATACAACACGCAATGCGTCTCGACCTCGACCTGGACGCTGAACATATCATGAATCAGTGAATACTGCTGTATCAGGCCGGGGCTAAACAAAGACTATGACTATTGTTTTGCATAAACTACTGTATGCATATATGCACACATACAGCAGTCTATGGGCTTGTGAATAGTCTAATCTAACTGCCATGTTTTCGAACGAACTGGAAACGGGGGGTCAGAGGACGGGGCGGCGCGGAGGGGAGCGGGGGGGGGTCCATCATCGTTGGATCTTGTGTTGGATGCGCTGTGGCACTCATCACATGATGTAGGGAGTAGGATCCACGCGTATGTGCATCTGGGGCTCGATTTCACCAGGAGCAGCAGCAGTAAACAAACTCGTGGACCACACTTCGGTGCGAACGCGAGGGGATCTCGCGTACAATTGTACCACTATAGTTTGCTGTCGTTGAGAGGAGAAGCACGCTGGATATATTTTTGTTGGGCAACGGGATTTTGAGAGAATGCCAAACCGGCTCAGCGGAACGGAGGTCAACGGCACCGGACACGACAGAGGCGTAAGCCTGGATGGTAAGCTGCTTTATGTTTTTAGGAATAATGTCCGAACTTAGATACGCCTCTTCTCTGTCTGAACATAGTTATCTCCCTTGCCGCCACTTGTATCAAGATGCTAGACGCGAAGATGATGCTGGGGACCACCATCAAGAGGACGAGCAGTCGGTAGCTAGATCGACGTCTGAAAGTGGGGAACCTTTGGGTGCGGGTATCACTACTACGACAGGCACCAAGGGCGCCCCAGTGTTGACATCGACCAGTCGAGAAGTTATGTTGGAGCACAGCGAGCGGACCTTGCTGCTTGACAAAGAGGATGTGCAGGAGGGCATCAACGACAATGGGGCAGACAAGGTTGCAATCGACAGTCCACCAAGGTCCCGCTCCCCGAAATGGGGGATGCCGCGTATGCCAGGTCTCAAAAACACCCTAAATGTCAGGCTTGGACGGACCACGAATCTGATCACAAAGGGAAGACCAAAATCGAACGATAGATCGGAGGACACGGCCCCTCACACAGAGGACGTGCAAGTGGTCGACGAACTGCAATCGATTTTCGAAGATGTACCCGAACCTCAAGTGACACATGGGAAACCACCTCCCGACAAGCGAGCACCGCAAGATAAGAAGCAAGCCAGTCGCAGCGCAATGCAAGGAATACAATCAATGAAGGCGAGTCTGCAAGCGAGACTACGTGGAGTGAGTAGCAGCGAGAAGCTATTCGAGGAGAACGAAAACAGACTATGCGAGGAAGGTGAGAGAACAGAGGCAGAAGGGTCCCACCATGAAGAGTGTTCGTCAGTCGGGAGTGGTACACCGCCTGTCATGTTAAACAGCAACGGCGCGGAACCCAATGGTGCAAGGAAGAAACCAGATAAACCTGGCTCCTCGGAAGAGCAACCAACAATACAGGAGAAAACCCAGAATCCGTCGTTGAACGACACAAACGGTCCGGTGGCATCGTCGACTGACGGCGATGTGCGCTTCGAGCGACGCTACTCATCTCCACTCAAGTCCCTCCTTCAAGACGCTACTGGTCATGCACACGAAAATGTACAAGATCAACAAGACGACGAAGGTAATATCGAGGGATACGAGGTTGCAACGGATACCATTGGAGACGAATATCACGCGAAAGGGCCTGTTGCTCAGGCCGTGTCAGCACTGGATACTGTCATGTCTGCCGCACGGCTCAAGTCGAAGATGTCCTCATCAAGCTTGACGGCCAACTTAAAGGGGTTCGGATGGAACAGGGCGAAGAAAGAGGCCGTCGCAAGCGCACCTTCTCCGCCTTCTGCTTCGATGGGTAGTCCCGTCGGTATCTTTCCCTCAAGTGGGCCTGCAGGAGAGGAAGGGGCGAGCGCACCGACAACCCATGAACATACAGGTGGTGACCGAACAAACGATCCTAACAACCTGGCTTCAACCGTGCAGGTAGCCGTTTTTCGAGCGAGCAACCTTCCAGAAAAACTTGGAACAAAGTTTGGGCGGCAGAAAAAAAATAGCACTCTCGGCAGGTTCGTCCGGCTGAAGCTGTGTGGTGTTAGTGCCTCCACACCGATCGTTCAAGGACAGGGGGCTGAGTGCAGATGGGGCACAAAACAAGAAGGATACTTAGTGGAAATAGTGGTTCCTCCAGGTAATCTTCCGGCTGCTGGAGTCGGTTCATCAAAAATCATGATTGAGGTCTGGAACAAGGCCAGTGAGGAGCTTGGCAAAGATGTCTTGATGGGAAAAACGGAGATCCTAGTCGCCGAATGGCTTGGGAAAAAAGGCTGGGCTAGTTTTGATCCAAAGCAAAGTCAGGGCGGCCGTGTAAAGGTGCGTGTAGCGTTGAAACCCTATCGAAATTTGGATGGTTCAGACGATGTCGCAATGCAAGATAGTGGCGCTGCCGACTCTGAAGAAAGACCGGTACACGTGGAAGTCAACCCAACGAGCTCCGACCATGACGCGACCAATACTCTGCAACAAGTGGAGGAAAAGCAACAGCAGGGTGAACCTGCAACAAAGACAACGGTACTTATCACCGAGCGTGGCGAGGAAAATTCAGAACGGCTTCCGCTCGTTGTTGGCTCTTTCCCGAACGAGTACCAAGAGAACGACTCCACGGTTTTTGCAGACAGGACACTCGGGGAACAGGCGGTGGCGGCAACGCTTGATGTTGGCGCCTCGGACGGAGGAATGGTTCAGGAAATCGACACCGGAAATTCTGTTGTTCAACAAGATTGGGGAGCTGCGCTTAGCGCTAGCCAAGACCTTGTTCAGGCTTGTGTGGCACCCACAGCGAATACCAAAAGTTCCGAAGAAGAGGAGGTATCGTCAGCGGTGCCAGAAAAAGCGCCCAACGATCCATCTTCAAACGCACTGGATGGGCTGTCAACCTTGGAAAATCACGCAACGGAGACTGAGGTGAATCGAAGCGAAGATATGCTCCACAATGTACTTGTGAGACAAGATGAGTTCAACACGGCCCCTCATAACGAAGTCCTGGGAGAACAAGAAGCAGAACCGCGAGGCACCCACACGGACTCCCTTCCCATCATGCTCGCGCCCATGGAACTCAAAGCGGACGGACACACGCCTGGAGTTAGTGACAGTTCTGAATTTTCAGGTGGTGACAGCACAGACGTAGATGATGAGAAAAACGACGGGAATGTCCAATTGTCCTCCGAGGGGAGAGACAAACTCGCCGCCCTCGACTTGGCCGGTGGCCCAGCGACTGATTCGGATATGGCGACCACAACGGTTACTTCAAACCAACGACCTGGTCATAACACCAACGAAAAATCGGTGGTACTCACTATCCCCCCCAGAGAAACTCTTGAATCGAGTGGTCACGGGTCGTATGCTCTGCGTCAAACGGAGCCTGCTACTCACGAACAGCACGACAGCGACGGGAGGTCTCACGAACTGGACCGACGTCAAGAAATAGACATCAGACCCCGCCGAAATACAGAAAAACTTCAAAGCAACGGAGACAACGGAGAGGGTACCGCGAGCGAGACGTTGGCCACAATGCTTCGGGAAACGCCAAGCGAACAAATGGAGAGTGCACCGCCCCGCGGTGTCCAGCTGCTAGACCACGTGTCAATCGGATCAAATCGAGCCAGAAAACGTATTGAAAGGGCACGCGAGATTATCCGGCGTCGTCGCGCGGTGATATCTAGTTCGGGGTCGGACAGGGATCGGCGAAGTGCC